CTTCTCCTGAGGAATAAAAACAAGCGTTAACACAGGTCAAAATATTTCACATAGACAAAAGCCTAGATCCCCAAAACTGTACCAAATCTTCTACTTGTAGGAGTCTGTCATTGATTTTTGGGTCAGACTCACAGGGCACTTCCTCTCAAGTTGAACCATAATCTGCGCAAATACATCTTTCTAGTTTTAACATAAAAAGTAGGCTTGTCTGCAATCAAGAACTTTTCTTTTTTTTTCAAAATCATACATGGCATCAACCTTAACTCACATAAGTGGACATCACTATGTGCAAGACACTTACCTGCATCTGCTGCAGTCATATCTTGTTCTAACTTCAACTTCTGCTGGCTGACTTTAAGCATGGACTCTTCAATAGTCCCCTTGCTGATTAGCTTTATCACTTTTACTTCTCTGAAAACCAGAATAGGACAAATTCCTTTTAACAGTTTCTTTGGATTACTGCAAAAAGGATGCTATGCCTCTGCTCAGCTGGCAGTGGTTTAAAATAAGCAGGAAATCAAACGGGCAATACAAAGAGCTTCTAGGTTTTCTCTCTTTACCACCAGTGCTCTGTACTACCAGAAAATTTCTCTCCTGCAGTCCCAGCCACCACCAAGTTTGAGTAGTTGTAAAGGTCTGTTTATAGGAACAAATTCCACCACATCCCATACGACAGTTGAAATATCAGTTATTAAATTTTACTGCTCACATTTGCTTATTCTGATGAAGGACTCTAAAACAGTCCATGGTTCCACTCTTTATGAAAGGGTAGCACTTTGGAGCCTAAAAGTTTCCAGAAGAGAATAAACAGCTTTATCAAACAGTCCCTAAGATTTCAGATCTGCCTTGAAATAGTTCCTAGCACTAGATATTTTAGAATTATGGAGAACTTGAGAGTTACAGAGAACTGGAAAAAGGAGTGGAATGTAAATAATGTTTGCTCTAGGAGCAACATGTAGTAAGATAATTACAGTTACCTAGCTCCCATAGAACCCAGAGCTGGATTACTCAAGTCTCCGCTTAAAATAGAATTTTTAATCATAAAATAACACCCTTTTAGACTCCTTAGAGAGCTTGTCTCCAAAAAAAAGCCAAGCATTGTAACTGAAAAGTCTTACCTGGTTTGACCTACTCTGTGGCATCGGTCTTCTGCTTGCTTATCATTGTATGGGTTGCAATCAATGTCATGAAGAATAACAACATTTGCTGAGGTCAGATTAATTCCCAAGCCACCAGCTTTGGTTGACAGGAGGAATACAAATATACCCATGTCTGTGTTGAACTGATCTATTAGATGTATTCTGCAGAACACAAGAAAACACACATCAGGCCTTGCAGAGAACAACATTTAGTTGAATAAAGAAGTTAGGATGATGATCTTTAGGAAGGGTAGACAGTGGCATCGCCACCAAAGATAGCTACCAAAGTAGCTCTCAAGTACAGACATCACAGAAGGAAACAGGGTAGTAAGTGTCCTCAGCAGTGACCAGAGAAACATAGTGGCAGATCGATAGCAAAGAATTAAAACAGGCTTGGAAAGAGATTCTGGATGATCATAAAATGCGAAGAGGAAGTTGGCAGACAAGGGAAGACTGAAGTACACTGGGGGCAGGAAGAGAGGATTTTAGCTTCAGGGCTATCTTCTGTATTAATTGCACACATAAGGGAACTTGGAGGCTTCAGCTCTAAGTGGGAAGCAGTACCACAGGCAAGAGTGACAGGGGGTTTTTTGAAACAAACAAACAAAAAATTGTAATAAATCATGACAGAGTAAACAGCAGAAAAATCAGCACAGCAAAGATACAAGACAAGCACTACAGCATTTTCAGCTGCAAAGGGCAGAGAAAATCGTTTGTCGTAGAGAAACAAAGGGGTTTATCTACCTACTGCAATAGATACATACTATACTTCAAACGAGTATCTGCAGCTGAGCTTTGGTTATGGCATGCTGACACAAAAATCAAACACACCATCAACTTCTGAAAAAAATTTTCCATTTTGATGGCTAAGACTGTAACCCAACCATCTAAAACTCACCTTTCAGCCTCCACCTTAGTAAGGCTATCTGAAATTCAACATTAAACCCCTTTTATACTCAGTGCTCAGTGGCCACAGAATTGTATAGGCTAGAAAATAAAGGTATGGGATTTAAGTCACCTCCCCCTCCCTCCATGCACACATCCATTCTTCCCCCTCTCATCTTCAGCAAAAACATCACATACCGATCAGAAATATGAGTTTTTCCATCCAACCTAAGATATCTATATTGCCAATGTTTCAGGAAAACTTCCAAAATATCCAGCATCATAGTAAACTGGCTAAACAATACAACTCTGTCACCCTGGAAATAAAGCAAAGCAAAAAAAAAAAAAAAAAAGGTTTAAAACCACATAAATTACTTATAACTAACTGCAGCTATACTTCACTGGTGCGAATACTCGACTTTACTTTGAATCCCTAAAAGACCAAGCCAAAATTCATCACAACTGACTTTCAGTGAAGATATTATTTTCAGTATTCCTATTCCTTTTGTCAGTGCAATATTTATTTCAGTTACTTTGTACTTAGGTGACTCAAGCAATCTAGAAATTCTAATGTAATAGTCTTATTTGATTGCCAAAAGAAGGTCAAAGTTCATGAGCTGTGAAAATGATGCTAGCCCTCTGCAGACTGAGGAATTACTGTTAACTTGTGGTGGATATTGTGAAACATGGAAAAATGGGGAAGCCTGCTTCAGCTGTGTCTAAAGGGACGGGTAGCCACACTGAAAGCTGGAAGTATTGCTTTGCAGTACTGCACATGCACTGAATCACATTGCAATACTGCACAGAAAAGCAAGTGAGTTGTATGTACAGCTAGCAGATGTTCATTTAACCAGCTTTTAGGTGGACAGGAAAAGATGTTTTAGCCATCTCTAGCACCAACCTTCTCTTTAAGGTCAGAGAGAATGCGTTCCAGTGCTCTAAACTTTCCAGAATCCAAGATCTGATCCATGTCTAACTTGAAGTTATGGACGTTGGAATATTGCTGGCAAAGCAAATGCAGCTCAAAGTCTGTCATTACTGTCATATCTTCAAAGATAAGGTCAGGGCTAGCATCACAATGTGTGGGTTCCTGTTAGCAAAAAAGGGAAGTAACACAATATTGCCAGACAGACAAGAAAAAAAAAAACACAAAACCAGAAACCATACGGTAACATCCAAAATTTGTGAAAGAACCTAACAGCACAACTAGACACAGACAAATTCCAGAGTGTGGCCCATGCAAGCAATGAAAGATGAACTCTGCAACCCCAGATTTATAGTAGAGAATCACTACTTCCCAATTCAGCTTTTACAAGAAATTGTACCACCAAAACCTAAGTAGTATATGCTCAACCTCCATAGTAATCACCTAGTTCCCATCAAGCCCTATGAGCTTTTACCCCTGTACCAGACCTCTTCCCCTGAAGACACATTCCCTAAAAGGGAAGTCCAATCCTTGGATAGATGGTAGAAGACATGGGAAGCCCAGCCCAAGATGTAGGGTGGGTAGAGGGATGTCATGTCTGGAAGAAAGAGGAAAAGAAAAGCCACATCTGGAGACTACGATGTTATGAGTAGGAATAAAAGGGGACAAAAATCCTTCATAGACCAAAAGGTCACTTCTTCCCTTCACCCCAGCCTTGATTGGCTTTATTTTAAAACAAATCTGAAGATATTCAAAGCCAGCTGCAGCTTTTTTTACAGCACCTGCTATACAGGTATTTTTATACTTCAGAAAGAAAAAATCATTTTCCCCAGACTCCACAGGCATTAACCCCAGCCAAATCACAGGAAAAAAAAAAAAGTCCTCAACAGTTCAGTATTTATGCCTTTCCTATTTTATTTCTGTACAGCCCAGATTTCTTGCTACTCTGAAAATACTAGTAAACTCAAGTGCCTGCTCAAGATTTTTTCCTAAGTACTTTGGTTTTCAATTTTAGGCTGGAGGGAAGAGGTGTTAAGGGGAGCTAATGAAAAGGAGATGACTGCAGGCTCACATGTGTTGTCTCCATTCTAATATCTGATACCCAAAATCCGTGTTACACATAGAGAGCTTGATTAGAGCACTGGATAGATGCAGAGAAATAAAAAGCAGCAACAGTGAATTAAATTTTGCAAATACACGCTTTTCACCAGAGTACTGACAATTTAAAAAAATAAAAAGTCTGTTGAAGTCACATTAAAAATTCTGAGAAATCAAAGGTAGCTTCTGAAACCCATCACCTTACCAACAGCATAAGTGTCGACATTTTCCTGAGCCTGTCATTCGTGTAATACTGGCGATGCAGGAGGGGGTGATTAGCCATTTTTCTAAGTTGCATCATCACATTTCCCATATCAGAGTGTTTCACTATAAACAAAGAAAAAAGAGTCAGGAACACTACACAGATGCTTCTCTGATACATGTTTATCTCTTTATTTGTGAGAACTTTATTTGCGAGTACTGAATTTGACATTTCACCTATTACCTGAATTTAGGAAAAAAAAACATGAAAGTGATAAAGTCATTTTATGACTATTAGAGATTTCTACAAAGCAAGGGCTCTGCAGTCATATTTGATATGTGTCTGGGCATGAAAAAAGTGCAGCAAAAGGAGATGAGACTCTCACATACCATTACTGTCAATAGTCTTCTTGAGCTTGTTGAAGAGATCACAGTATAGTTGTTCCTGTTTCTCAGACATGTCACATAATTCAATGAGATCCTTCTTGGGAGGTAATTGTTTAAGGACCTGAAAAAATAAAAACATACCAGGTAAAAACTGTGCTGTAGTGAATGACCATTAACTGTGCTATTTTACAAACCTGCTTTTAAGCTACTATAATCATTCTCCCCATGCCAACTTCTTTCATTGGCTGCAACTTTGCCGAGTCAGCAGTTTGGCTTACTCAGAACTCAATTTGGTTTATAACTCATCCCCCCACCATCAAGTAATATGGTTTGCATACTGTGAAAACCCACAAACTAATAATACATTGAATACCTGGAACCCACACCCTAATCCAAGATACTCTCTTCAAGTCACAGACTACTAAAGTATACAAGTACACAAACACTTTTTGGATCACTGTTAAAGTTTTCTCTCTTTTATATATGCAATTCTAAATAGAAGAATTTAATTCAGTTTTGGACCTTAGAAGGAAAAAGAAACATTTTGATCACAGCAAAATTTCTAGTCGTATATATACATAAATACATAGATGTATATTCACTGCCTTAATCCTTTCAGTTAAATTAAAGCATCATTATTGTAAAGTCACAAATATTTTTGTGGTTTATATGGAAGATTTCTCACTTCTTATTGCTTAGCAGTGCATCTTTCGTCTTTCAGTGATCCTTCCTAACTCAAATTCCCAACTGTAAATAACAAGCAAATAAGCATCAAAACCCTAAGCTGCACAAGATCACATTTTTACTTGCAAAACCATGAATGGTGGCTCAAGTTTCTTGCTCTTCCCAGATAAACAGCTAAAACTAGTACAGACAAGATTTGACCTTAAATTCTACTGCTAGTCTCAAAGATAATATGTAACCACTATTTTAAAGATAAAACCATACCTCTTCTTTTACTCTTCTCAAGATGAATGGTTTTATTATCTGCTTTGCATGTGCAATCCTCTCCTTTTCATATATGCTTGTTTCTTCAGCAGTCTTCTAAGGAAGAGGTCACACGAATTCAATTACAGTGTGAAGTTTTCAGCTCTAACACCACCTTAACGATTCTAACTTGACAAAAAATCCAGCCAGAACAGACAGATCTAAAAGGACCCTTAGTATTCCAAGATACCCTATTATGATGCATTCCTACTTTAAATGGTTTGTTTCATTTGCTAGATTTCCATAACCACGTTACCTGTTTCTGTACGATACCAATAAAACAAAGTTATGCAGCAGTATCAGGGTTCTAGCAAAAAAATATGTTCTTTGAAAGAAGATATTATATAATGCTTACTGTTTTTGAAGAGAACATCCTTCGTATTTCACTTGTGCTACTGCTGAACATATGTGGCATGACAAAATTCAAGAGGGACATTAATTCCAGCAGATTATTTTGAACTGGAGTCCCCGTTAGCAGTAAACGATGCTTTGCCTGTTTGTCCAAAGTGGAAAAGAGCAGTGAGAAATATTAGTTGAACAAGTTAAAAATTAATATTGGCAGGAACAACACAGCTATGGCGAACTGATGAAATGAGCTTAGTTTAAATTGTAGCTATTTAAACTTAACATATATTTAGAACTCATGGAATAATACCCTGGTTAAGTCAACAAAACGGTTTACAGACTGGGGAACTGAGCACATATCCATTTAAGAGTATCCAAGAAGCCTAATCCAGATGAAAGAAAAGCCTTCCTGGCTCTGCTAGGGTTCTTCTTGTTTGTGTTGTTCAGTTTTGTCTGGGGTTGTTTGTTTTAACTAACAAGCTAATTGCTGCTCCCATATCATATTTTATTTAATGTCATACAGTACTTAATGCACAAGTTTTGAATTGCAAGTACAAGCCATAGTTTAATTGCTTAAAGATCAGCTTCTTAAAAAGGCTTTTGACAAAATTACGATTTTGAAAAAGTTATAGTAAGTGATTATAAGTGTATTATTATTACACAAATACTACAGTGCTAAGTCATAATAATTGGAGAAAGAGCTATACTCAAATTTCCTTTTTCAAAATGCTGCTGCTTCAGGCCACAAGATAGAAGAAAATGATTATTTTAATGCTAGCTGGTTTTGTACAGTCCTATCAGAGTGGGTCCCTGTCCTGGTTCCGTGTAAAAAGGGGTTCAGGGCAGGACCCACACGGAACAGAACTATGTACTCGCCTCTCCCCCCCCCCGAGAGAGAGAGAGAGAGACACTTTGGGGAAAAAAAAAAAAAAAAGAAGTCAATTGTTCAAAAAAGTATATTGTTCAACAAGGAACAGAAAACGAAAAAGGGAGGTAGGAAAAATAATATATACAAAGATTAGGGGAAAAATACAAAAAGTAAAATATACAAAACCCTCAGAAATGGTTCCAGGGTCCCATGGAGTGAAAGGAGAACTTTCCTCTCCAAGCTCCAAGGCAGGAGTGAAATAAGAAACCACTCCCTGCCTCTTATCAGAGTGTGTGTGGGAAGGGGAGGGAATACAATGGTTTCACCCCCACCCCGGGGTCCTCCCAGTTGCTGGAAGGTCACGACCCCATTCCAAGCCTCAAATCACAACAGTCCCTCAATACTACAGTGTTTCAGCACATGTCATCAGAATAGCATTTTGACCATCTTTACTCCTGTGGGATGAAACTGGAAAATTGTTTGGTACTGTAACTGAACAGCTACCATTATTGTAATGATGTTACAGGAAATTTATTAGAATTCTTTGGGAGCTTGTCTCCCTGGAAGTGCTCACAACGTAGACTCTACTCCTAAGACCACACCAACACTTATAATCCACTTGATAACTGTAGTTTCTGGAACATTATATGTAAAGGAACTTTATAGTTAATACTCCATTTCCCCCCCCATCAATAACTACAAAACACGAACAGGAGTCGCCCCCTCTACCCCAACGAGAAGTGAACCTCTTACATTAATTGTCATAAGGTGCTGGTAGCGTATAGAGCTCATGTTCTTGAGCATGTGACCTTCATCAAAAATGGCATAGTTAAGCTTCAGCCTGCGGAACAGTCCTCTGTCTTCTGAGCTGCTAATTGCACAGTTGTAACTGTCGGAAAGACAACGTAAAAGACACGTTAAATGCAAACTTAATGTGAACATACTGTTATCACAGAATTTAAATTCTCTGAAACTGTTAACAGTCATGGAGAGAATACATAAGGCACAGTAAAATGGCCTAGAAGTAACCAGTCGCCACACAGTTTACGAATGGCAAATAACTAGTCTACTTAATGAGCCAGTGCTCTCACTAACACTTAAAAAAAACCTTGTGCAAATCTAGCACAAAGTAGTATATATCTATCAGCATGTATTATGTAATGAATAGATAATACCTTAAGCCTCTGTTACATAGTATCTGTTATGTATTGATAACACCTTAGTTAACCATTACCTGAAAACAAAAACTCATTCCCTTCCTATCTCAATGAACCCCAAACATTGTTTTGTTGTACCACTAGAGGTCAGCAG